TGTTGCTGCTGCTGCTAGTGTGCGGACCTGCATGCTCGCTCTCCGTCCGCGATAGGCCGCGCCCCTCGCCGGTGTTGGAAGGGATCCGCAGATCTTTTGTTTTGGATCCTTTTTGACTCGCATGAACAGCGTCTCACCGCCGCCGACAGTATCGGTGCAAAGTGCGAAATTCCAAGAAGAAAAATCTCGCTCGCCCACGACGCAACGGAGCACGAAATGTGAAGATTCCAAGTGCAGAGAGTGACTCTATACCGGCGTCTCCGAGATGCTGAGAGCGTTGATCGGTGATGCCGCGCGTGGATGTGTTGGCGAGCATTCGACGTTTTAGCGCGCCTTGCGACCAGTCGAGGCGTAGGGTGTGGCTGGTGCAGCGGATCCACGCCCGCAGGCCGGTGAGCGACCGGTCGCGCTGCCTCGCTTCTTCTGTGGGTGCAGGTGCGTCGAGTCTGAAAGAGCACGACTGGGCCCGAGTTGCCCCTTTGGCGAGGAGCCACCTCCCGACTTTTTTTTCTACCCTCCCAACTTTTTTTTGGAATTTCGCGGGAAACGGTGCAGGCACCCCAGCCCAGCCCAACGCTAAGTTGACTCTCCCACCGCGGCTCAGCCTGCGGGGCCAAGCGGGGGACACTCTTGAAGTCAAGGCAGCGGCGGCAGCGCATCGGCTCAGGGCAGTCGCAGCGGTGCCTTTCAAATCGGCCGTTCCCTCACTGCCACTGCAGACCGCACAGGCACGGCTCTCCAGGCTGGGATCAATCGGATCTTGATTGCCATCTCGGACCTTTCTTCGCCCCGTCGCCATCCATCATCCCCGCCCACCGCTCCATCTCCATCATCACCCTTTCTGCTTCGTCGACCACCCCTGCCGCATGACGCACTGGATATAGCACCCCGCTACATCTCTCTTACACCGCCGTCACCATCAGCGCACGACTCGATCTTTGCTCGGAGCGTCAACCTCTATACGCACGTCCCCCTGGCTCGAGATCCTGTACTCCTGCTCATCCTCGGCAGTCGATCGATCATAGCGTTGAGCATACGCCAGGCTTGCCGGCCATCCTACCTCTCGAGGACGTTCAGCAACGCTCGCTACGCCGCCGGTCACTGCACGATTTCCCCGCCTTGAGACTTTAGGACCGAGCGTGGCCTCTCGCCTCGACGCCGGCACAGCTACGGACCATGCAGAACAGTCCCGCCTCCTCGCACAACCCCTTCCCCTCCTCATCCACGCCCAACTCGTTCATGGACACCTTCGACTTTGGCAACCCCGACTTTTCCACCGCGAGCTCCGGCATCGACGATCTCAACATCTTCCCCGCCAACTCGGCCCATTCCGTCTCGTCCCACCACAACGCGCATTCCGACGCCGGCTCCGCGCCGGTGAGCCATCATCCCAGCCCTTCGGCCGTCTTCAACCACTCGGCAGGCGCACACTCCTCGGATCATCAGCCAGGATCCGCCACGCACGGCGCCGCCGCCTTCCTCAACGCTTCCTCGCACGCTGGCTCGCCTCTCGCGTTCCCGCGCAATCGTTACGACAATCACGCCTCCACAAGTCCACAGGGCAGCACCGCCAATCAAGCCGGCAGCGATTCGGGCCACAACCGTCCGCCATCCACCGTCGGCTCCGAGATCAACTTTGCAGGCTCCCGTCATCTCGATAGCAATCACGCCGCCGGTTCTGCTATGCAGCCTTCCCATTCCAACCAGTCGCACATGAACGACCACGATAACAACATGCCCCAGCTCTCCATCGCCGACCTTCAGCAGATGCTGCTCGAGCGCGAGAGGACCGAGCGTATTCAAAACATGCAGACCGCTCTCCTCAAGCAGCAGCTCGACCAGCTCGCGCGCACGCAGCAGCAGCAGCACTCGCAGCAGCGTTCACAACAACAGCCCGCGCAGCAGCAGCAACACCAGCAGCACCAGCAGCAGCAACACATGCACAACGCTGGGCCTTCCTCCAACCTCCAACTCAACTTGTCCGGGGGCGCTGGTCAGCTCTCTCCAGGCCAGCAGCAGAGCCTCCTTGCTGCACTGCAGAACGCTTTTGCTGCCGGTAACAACCCAAGCGCCTACAACAACGTCCTCCAAGCCGCCCACTACCAGCAGCAGCAACAGCAACAGCAGCAAAGCCAGGGCCAAAATGCCTGGCAGCAGAACCAATCGGGCGCCGGTGGCGACCAGGCCAGCGTGCTCGCACAGTACGGCCTCATCACGCCCATGGGCTCGGGTCCTTTCAACAGCACCTCGTGTCCGCCCGGCTCGGCCAACTTTATGTCGCCGCTCACCATGCAGCCCAACTCGCAGCCCGGCAGCGTCGGCGTCGAGCAGAGGCCCGGCCACGACTACGTCGGCAGCTACACGCCGCTCGAGTCGCCCGCCATGACGCCCGCCAGCGTCTTCTCCACCGGCTCCACGGGCATCGTCATGTCCGAGCTCTTTTCGCCGCTCACCTCGCCAGCGCTCGGGCCACATCCGCCGAGTCTGAGCGAGATCATGCTGCCGCCCGCGCAGTTGCAGCATCCGCACCAGCAGGGCATGCACGCTTCGCCCGCGGTGGGGCCGATCGCCAGCAGCTTTACGCCCACCGCATCGCCGCTCGCGCTCATCGCCAAGGGCTCGTCCAAGATCCGCAAGAACCGCAGCACCACCGCAGAGGCAAGGGCCAACAAGGTCAGGCCGTCGCCACTCATCAAGCCGGTGCCCGGGCCGTCGATCAAGAAGAAGAAGGACGCCACGGGCGCGGCGACGCCGGCTGCCAATGGCAATGCCAACGGTCATGCTAATGGCGGCGCCTCGGGTCCGAGCTCGCGACGTGCTTCCATCACCAATGCTGCCGACGCAGCCGCCACGCACTCGCGCCACCAGTCGACCGATGTGGCGCAGAGCGAGGGCACCTCGTCCACACCATCGCCCATCGACCTCTCGGGGGGCGGTGCCATGCCGCCTCCGTCCGGCCCCACCAACAAGATCCTCACGCCCAGTTCCATCATGGGCATCCGCTCCAGTCCTGGCTCGCAAGCACAATCGCCCAACAGCCGTGCATCCGGCGCCGCCTCCTTGTCCGCGCTCAAGGGCAAGGCGCGCGACGAGCTACGATCGCAGCCGCCGCCGCCGCCGCCGCCGCCGCAGCAGCAGCAGC